TGCCCTCCATGTGGACCATTCTGTTTGCTCCAGGAGTGGAACTTCCGGAGAATGCCGTTCTCCCGGGCTGTCTTTGTGCTGGGCACTGGAATTGAGCACCTGAACTTCGCCATGGAGCTCTTTGAATGGCAGGTGAGAAGGGGAAAAGTGGCCCTGTTTGAGCACCCAAAGAGCTGTAGGTCGTGGCAGGAGCCATCAGTGCAACGATGCATGTCCTTGCCGGGAGTCCAACGCGTCTGTGGAGATCAGTGCGAGTTTGGACTGCGCGTGAGAGAAGGGGAAGATCTCAACAAGCAACCAACCGGCTTTATGACCAATGGGAAACATCTTCAACGAGCCCTACATCGACCTTGCAGAGGACTGCATCGGCATCAACCCTTGTTGCACGGACGGGCCAAACAGGCAGAAAGATATCGAATCCTCCAGAACTATGCAAGGCAATTGTCAAGGCGGCGGAGAAGGACAAGATCACACAAATGGTGTGTCTGGGCATGGAGGACTTCAACGAGAGCTGGGCAGAAGGAGATGATGGAGGAATTGACCCAGAAGAACTAATCGACCAAGCTCAAGAACGAGAAGCTGAACAAGATCGGATTCTTGAACTGCAGCCAGCTGGAGCTGACGACGAAGAAGAGGAAGATCAAGAAGATCCAGTGATTCCTTCCGGAGTCACGAGGAAAGAGAAAGGACTGCTCCAGAGGCTCCACGTCAACCTGGGACATCCCAGTAAAGAGGACTTCTACCGGGCTTTGAAGATGTCGAGAGCCAGGCCAGAGGTGCTCAAGTATGTGAAGAAGGAGTTCGCTTGCGACCATTGCACTCAGCATCAAAACCCAAAGAGTGCTCGACCATCAACGATTCCGAAGGGCTACACCCCTAACCGGGTTGTGAGCATTGACACTGTCTTCTTCCCAGGCATCAACCCTTGAGATCAAAAGCCAGTGCTGAACATCATCGACTGGGGAACATGTTACCAAATGCTGGAACCAGTGCCCGACATGCAATCCAGCAGCATATGGAACTCCTTTGTGAAAAGCTGGCTACGAACCTTCGGCATGCCCGAGATGATTGTCATGGACCAGGGAAGGGAGTTCATTGGAGTCTTTTCCCAACGAGCTGCAGAATACGGGGCTTTGGTGAGAACTATCGGAGCCCGGGCTCCGTGGCAAAACGGACGAACTGAACGTCACGGAGGACTTGCAAAGGGGACCTTCATCAAAGCCGGCAACCAGGTGGGTTTGACCACACAAGCTGAGTGGGATGAATGTCTCCGCAGTGTAGAAGCGGCCAAGAACAGACTCTTCCATCCTTCAGGATTCTCACCAGCCCAACGACAACTTGGACAGAACCTTCGATTGCCTGGAAGCTTGGCAAGTGATGATCCATTTGAGGTGGGCCTCATTCAGGGAAGTGCTGGCCGAACCCTGGAGATTCGGCAAGCCGCACTGGAATCCTTCCTGAGGTATTCAACAGAAGCCAGCGCGAAGAAGGCGGCGTACGGCCGCTCAAGGGGCTCAAGACATTTCAACGCCGGCAAGATAGTGTATGTGTTCAGGAAGCCGTGGCAAGACGCGGGGCAGCGCCTACCAGCAATCGAGCTTGCTGGTGCAGCCCTGGGACTTTGATCATGCTGGAAGGCAGGAATGTCTGGGTTTCGATGAAGGGCGAACTTTGGAAGTGCGCTCAAGAGCAACTGCGAAGAGCCACCTCGGAGGAAGAGGACGCCATGAACCTCCTCAAGGAAGAGTTCTAGGACCTCCGCGAGCAGTTGAGAAGAGCAGAGTCCAAGAGAGGCTTCAAGGACATCAGCCACTAGGGACGGCCGGATGATGATGAAGAAGAGGAAAGCCTGGACCCCCAGAGTCAAAGGCGCCGCATCGAGGAGGATGAGCCGGAGCCATCACAAGGAGCGACAGACTCACAGGACTCCAATGCAGGGAGCCAGAGGAAGAGATGCCAGGAGGAAATTCTGGACTTCCATCAGTGGCCATTGATCCTGAGGTGATGCTAGAGGCAACTGAATCGGTCATCCGGAACGAGCAGCTGGGTGGAACAATACCGTCTTCAAGACGCTCCGGACACTATGAACCAATTCGAGCCCGACTACAAGCATCAGGTGGAAGCCCTATGAGGAGGAGCTCTGTGGAAGAGGTCTACTTGGAGCATCACCTGACGAGTGGCGACCAGTGGAGGATGGATGCCAAAAGAAAGAAGTTGATTCGAGTTCACGGTGATCCACGGTGGCAATTGTTTCATCCCGCAGACGGAGAATGCCCACTACAACTCAGACACCTTACTTCCCACAGGCGAACCATTCAAATTGATGAAGATGGACAGAGGACTGTGCGGAGAGGAGACTGGAGAAAGAAGATTTCATCGTTAGAAGAGTGTGGACTTTCTCACATGTGGACGGAGCTGTGGTCGCATTGTCCCAGAAGAATCCAACTCCGTGGAGAAACAACTTCAAGAAAGCGGTAAGATGAATCGAATCTTACCGTCAAGAATGGTGCGACGCTGGAAGCCATCTGAACAGCCAGGAGTACCTCCAAGCCGCAAAAGCCGGTGGTGCATCAGAGGAGATCGAGATCCTGATTTGTTGACCTTGAGCCGCTATGCCCCCACGGAGACTACTGCAGTGGTCAACATCGCATTGCAGCTGGCAGCAAACTGAGGCTTCAAGACCTATGTAGCGGACCTCCGGAATGCCTTCATGCAGTCGGACCGACTTGTGAGAAATGAGGGAAGGCTCTTTTGTCGGCAACCTAAAGGTGGACTACCAGGCCTGGAGCCCAATCAACTCATCGAGATCTTGGCCGGAGCCTATGGTCCAGGAGACGCCCCGGCACATTGGAGGAGAAGTTTGAGGAATGTGCTGTTGGAGCTTGTGCCTGGGGAATGAGAACCATGATCGGGCGTTAGAGCGCTTGCGAGAAAGGTTACATTTTGGAAAATTTGCCAACTTGAGCGAACAGCCCGAAGGAGCCTCCTTCAACGGCAGACGACTCAGAAGCACTAAGAACGGCTTCGAGATCGACATGACCAAGTTCGTTCGAGAACGGCTACAACCAGTTCCCTTTAAGCTAGATGGACGGCGGAAAGAACTCCGCAGGAGAAGTCGGACGCCAGAGCCTCAATTGGAGCTTTGACTTGGGCTGCAAAGGAAGGTCGCCCAGACTGTGCGGCGAGTGCTTCTTTGATAGCCAGCTGTCTCAACAACCTGAAGGTTCAGGATGTGATAGACCTGAACAAGGCCATCAAGGAGGCAAAAGAACATGAAGATCTCACGGTGAAGATCCAGCCCATCAACGAAGAGGACATGTGTTTTGGCGTCGTCACCGATGCCTCATATGCCAACACCGAGACCTACTCCTCACAAGGCGGTTTCGGAGTCTTGTGCTACGACAAGCAGCTGGAGAAGAAGGGCATCGCACGCGGCAATCTCCTGTATTGGAGATCCGGAAAAATCCACTGGATCGTCAACTCCACCTTGGCTGCAGAAACTCAGAGCCTTGCAAAGGGCTTGCAGGAGTTAGCCTGGAGCATCACGGTCTACAACGAGTTGGGGGACCCCAGCTTCGAACTTCGAGAGTGGGAAGCGGCCGCCAAGAAGCGACGGCTGAAGGCCATAGCCAAAGAGGACATTGACGAGACCCTCAAGAAAGGACTATGTCTGGTCGATGCCAAGAGCTTGTACGACCACTTGGTCAAGTCCACCGTGGGCAGCACCGATGACCGCCGAACGGCGATTGAAATGCAGCTGATAAGGCAAAGCGTGCAGGAGACAGGGACGGCCATTCGCTGGATCAATCACGAGAAGATGCTGGTCGACTCTCTCCCGAAGAGGCGCGGGAACAAAGAGCCTCTGTACAGGTTTCTGGCTACGGGCATTTTGAATTTCTCCCATTGCGACCATCAAGAAATGTTGGGAGCTGTGAATACTTTGAGCGCTTGGTCGCATGGTCGACTTCGGTGAGCTCCGCGCCTACCGCGGACGTCATTTTGTTCGAACACTTCAGCCCGAGGGGCTGACCGACTCGCGTGAAAAGAGCGCGAGGGCTTTCATGTGCTACCCACATCATCCAAGGAGTTTCTGGTGTTACACTGGATGGAAGAGATATCCAACTAGTGTGGAAAAGTGCAGTCGAGATTTAACACTTGTCAACGTTCAGAAAAGAATTGTGTGGTTTCCCCTTTAGGGTGGTTTGTTGAAGCGTTGCTCTTTTTTCTACTCAGCGTCGTGCATCTTCAGGTGCAGTGTAGAGTTTCAGGTGGACACTTTTTCGTCGCTATTTTGGAGTGGCGCTTGCACAAAGAGACCTCCAGACCTTCACATTGGCGACAAATTGAACCAAACTTTTAGGAGAGCCTCGCAGTCTTCAGAGACTGAATGTTTAGCAGTGAGTTCAATCAGAGTTTGGACAGGTGAAGCCACCAAACAAAGCACAAGAGACCATTGACGGTGTGAGCGTGTCCGCCCCAGTACGAAGGGGTGCGCCCACAGGTGCACATAAACCAATGTACATCTACCTATCATAAATATGTATATATATATATATGATGTATTTTTAACTATGCAAAGTCCGCTTTCTTGGAAACCATTGAAGGAAAATATCCACAAATCCTATGAGATGGTTCACCAAGAGTTTTGGTAGCCTGGTCATTTGACTGGATGTTGACTTGTTGGTTTTGGGCTGGCGGTTGATGCACTGGAAGATGGGCAACGGTCACTCTGACTGTATCTCTTCCAGTTCGACTTCGAACCGGAGTTTTAAATTTACAACGCGCAAGAATGCGTATATACACAAGAAAGCGCAAAAGCTGCGTGTTCCCTGCTCCAAGATTTGTGGATAGTTGGAAGATGCGGCAAAATTCAACTGATGTACCTAATTGCGCTGCGTGCTCACAGCTACAGCCCACAGCAATGACTTATGACCCAGTATGACACACTCACATACTGGCCAAACAACTTGAAGATCTTGAAGCAAAACAAATAATCACGCCTGAGTGTCCAAACAGTACAACTCATCGACTCTGCCTCAGGCAGAGCTGCGCCACAGATCTTCAAACAATTTCAAGGAATTGTTGGTTTGCTGAGCTCGCTGCTGCCATCGGTACCACCAAAGATCCATATCTTTCCACTGCTATCCATCACCGCTGCGAATCGCTCTCGACCAGTGGGACTGGTCCCACTTATGGACGGGGTCGTCCAAGTTGGTGTAGCTGCCTGGCACAACTTAGAGCAATGCAAATCAGAATCACACAAGCAAAGCAAAGGCAAGCGCTTGGAATCAGGAAGCAAAACATTGCTTGATTCTGCCTGGGTGTCCAAGTAGTGCACATCATTCAAGTAGCCATCTAAGAGACATGCGAGGAACATTTTTGGAATCAAGTCTTTTGCAAATCACAACTCGCTTCCAATGCTGAGCCTGCTGCTCCCAGGCCCCCAGCCACCAAATATCCACATCTTTCCATTGCCATCCATGACACTGACGTGCCTGTTTCGGGTTTCTGGGCTGTTGCCACTCACTGACGGAGTCGTCCATGTGGGAGTGCCGGCCTCCAAGTCTTCCAGTGTTTGGTCTGAACACTTGCCCCAACACAGCTGGATCTCCACCAAAGAAATCGGGGTTTGCAATGGAGACTTGTGTGAAAAATCACAACATGGGCGGATACAAAAACAATGTCTTTTGGCATGGGTGCTTGAAGATACGGTTTCTGCCTGGGTGTCTAAATAATGGACATCATTGAGATAGCCTCAGGCGGGGCCGCAGAAGTGCGTGAACCAAGACTGAGACTGAAGTGTTGCGGCCCGCAAAACATCTGCCACGACTACCGAAATCCCGCGTTGATCCCGCGTTGGTTCAGTTGAAGGTTCTAGACCCTGCACATGCGAGACCAACAAGCGACATGCAACGGGACATCTAGTAGACTTAGTAGACACACACACATGGAGAAACAATCCACCTGTCCCTCTTGTCACACCTCTGAGTCTGCTGCTACCGCTGTAGCCGCCAAATACCCACATTTTTCCATTGGCGTCCATCACGGCAGTGTGGCGTTTCCGGGCAGAAGGGCTGGTGCCAGTCACCGACGGAGTTATCCAGGTTGGTGTAGCGGCCTTCAATCAGTCAACCAATTGCATTTGATCGAAGAGGGGTCTTCAACCAGCGTTGCAAACACGCGCGCAACGAAGTGCTCGCCCAGTGACCCTTTTCATTTTCTCATACTGGTTTTGGTTTTGGGCATCGCGTCGGCGCCATCGCGCCGACATGAAAAGCCCTAAAACGCCTGATCGAAAGTTTTCCCCAATAATCTTCCCATTTCCCCTCAGCACTGTATCAAATGGCAAGCTTTGCGTGATCTTCTCTGTCTTCATTACACCGACGAAACCTCGTGGGGAAAATGCCGGCATTGTTTCAGGCATCTTGCCCTTCCCAAAATTGTGCGAGTCTTTCCGGACCCGCTGTGTGAGTTTATCTTCATTGACTAATTGGCCAGCAAGTTCACAACAAACCCATTGTCTTAAGCCCAGCGTTGCAAAGGGTCCTTTCGACACCCTGGCGCCGATGTCAACAAGAGGTCGAATGGTAGCTGGTAGAATACAAGTTTCTATAGCCTGTTTCACAAAGCATTCTGTGCTTGCGTCTACATGGCCGCGACAGAGAGATTTCGAAAGGCAGCGCCGGTTTGTCGTGGGGCATCACAGATGCGCTATCACTGACAAAGCCGCCTTTGTGAAGAGACAAGCGGGATCAGTGAACTTACGCGCAAGTGTCCTACCCAGCAGACCCCCAGTTTCTTAGATTGAACGGCTATGTTATTGACTGGTTACACGCCGCTCGAAAACATGAACCTCTGCGCGCAGTCTTCCCCACGGTGGAGTCCTTCACACGGGCGAGGGAAGGGACTCGCCTGCACGGGAAGCCTCTTGGCCGTCGCGACTGTCGATCCGTCAACTTTTGGGCTCACAGTGCTACAGTGCTGAGAGGCGTGATGAACTCTACCCCGCGAAGGGTGTGCCCAGATCCTTTTGTGGCTAGGCTCAACCTGTTTGCTTGCCAAGTTCTTGGAGGGATCAGTGCCGCCATCTCGACTGGCGGCAACACCTAGCTAGGTCTAGTCCCGGTCCACGATCTTTGGGGTCAGGCGAGAGGTCCCACGGTGTTGACGGGTACGTTCTCCTTTGGGGGTTCATCGTCGTTGTGGGGCCTCGTGTTGTCGCGCCGGGCAGCGCTGGGTGGGCTGCCGGGCGAAGCTACTCTCGGCTCCTTCCATCGAGCTAAAAAGGCGGCACGGTGCCTCAGATCCACCCCGGAGTCCCTGTTACCACCGCGTTCAGTGTGTCAATGAACCTGAAACTTTGGCAATCGCGCAAGAAATGGCGCGCTCGAAGTAAGCGCAATTGGCTCAGATTGCTCATAACTGCCGAGGCTCTCGGTTGACCCAGTGGAAATTGAGAGTTGGAACGTTCGTAGCTGGGGGAGTATACTCAGGTCCCCTATGACCCATGGCATAAAACACAGTGCCTATTCAAGTTGGCAGTGTTCGGTTTCCAGTGGAGGGTCACCATCCTTTGAATATCTCGGGAACCTCCTGGCACCTCGTCGTCCGGGGTAAAGTGGCAATCGCTTTGGGACCTCGCCCCACTCAGGCTTGGAGACAAGGTGGCATTGAGTACACTTCCAGATCCCGTCAGCAACGGACGCTGCTGCTAAGGATTCCGCGACAGGGCATGACAAATGGAGTCTCCATCGTGAGTGTCTATGCACCACAAAGTGGGGTTCCTGGTCGGGTCAAGCGGAATTTTTGGGAGCAACTTTCCACCACCTTACGCGCTACCAAAAGCGATGATATCGCGGTCGTAGGGGGAGATTTCACAACTCGCACTATAGCCCACAGAGGCGTGACCTGTTAGATTGGTGCAGCCGCCATGATCTCCTGGTGGCTGCTACGTTCTTTCAACAACCCATCCGCAAACGATATACTTGGTGGCATCTGGCCCGCCGTACTGGCCACGGTCTCGATCATTTTCTGGTTAACGGGCACTCACATAGGTTCGTGGTATACGCATGAACCGTACAATGCAGGAGAACCTCTAGGACGACCCCGCCAGTCCGGTCAACATGACCCTTCTGGAGCGCTCTATTGGGATGACTTTACGGATCATCTTCCCATTGAAATTTCGTAACCAGGATACCATGCACCCTCGGCCACAAGTCGAATGCCTAGCCGTCCCGGCAACTTCGTATTCGATGGCATAACGCTCGCATTTCAGCGCGAGAAAATACTCGTGGCCCCCGCACCGAGACTGGCGTGAAAAGGTCCATCCGGGCAAAACTGAAGGCTCGCGCATTCCGGGCACACCCCGACAACCGACTGACGTCAGGTTCATAAGGGTGAGCAAGCTTGGGTTCGTCGCGTTGGCGGCATTTTAGAGGAACAGGGGAGCCAACGCCGTGACACGACCCAGCGCACTTCCCGAGCTTCCGTCAAGCTTCATCAACTCGCTATATAGGGCCTGCAAGTTCAGCGTCCGATCGCAGCAACGGAAAATGCCCTTTTCATCCCTTTTCCATCCGGATCAAGGTCATGGAAAGTGTACAGTGTACATCAGTGTACTTATGCCCTCGTTGACATGCTCCTGTCGATATCTCGGGTCTGGAATCCGCGAACATCTTACGATGCTCCAACGGGTCGCATTTCGCTGTGCTTCCAGGTAAACCGGACCTGGTTACACCAACACCACGTAAACAGTATGCAACTGTGCGTCCTACCCAAGTGGGAGCCCATCAAATTTACCTTTGCGCGACAATCACTGTTCTGGCCCAAACAAGCCTTGCGATGGATGGGTCTTTTTCCTTTGCTTGTTTTAGTGTGCCTTGGATTGAACCGAAGCCCTTTTCCAAGTCGTAGTAGGCATTGCTTATGACCTGTTCTTTTGTTAATCTTCTTGCCATAGTTAGTGTATTTTGAAGGTTTTCTTCGCAAAGAAAGAACGTTTACAAAAGCAAGAGAATAAGAACGACAAAATTTGACTGTGGTCGTGTAATGACCGAAGAGAAGGCCTTGAGAGATTGAGGAACTTGGCAAAGGGAAGAAAGGCACACGAAGGGCTACGCGAGATAGATAGATAGATAGATAGATAGATCGATAGATAGATAGATAGAGTGACAAAAGAAATGGAAGACGAGGAAGGAAAAAGCGACTGAATAAATGACTGGAATAAGCGAAGAAGAAATGAAAAGCGATAGATCCGATGACTTCGTCGTATCCAACCAACTGATATTACAAAAGCACAAGGACTTTGAACAATTCGCAAGCCGTGGTAAAACCAACCACGACTTTACGAAAGATTTGTGAAAACATCGTTTACAAAAGCATTGCGAAAAGAAACGGTGACAGTGAAAGGAAAAACAATCGAGGAGGGATGAGAGCACTACAAAACAATTACTAGTCAGTGATAGGTCATTAGGTTCAACAGGGTAATCTAGACAAAGACACCATAATCCTAGTCTTCTACAACGTCAAAACGATTGTCAGCGAATGGTGGGATGGAATAGGGGAGTGGCAGCTTCCTTCAATAAGAATATAAACATTAGAGATTCCAAATGTTTTCAAAGAATATTATATCTCCAGAGCCGCGCGCGGAGAAATCAAGATATTCTCCGGACAGAAGTAGCAGTCACTTGCAGCCACTTGGCAGCCACTTGTCAGTCAAGCAAGCGGCTGCAAAATTGAAAATCAAAACGCGCCTCCTGCAAGCTCAATGAAGCATTAAGAATATAACGCGCCTCTGTGTCCAAATAGTGCACATCATTGAGATTGCCTGAGGCTAAGTTTGTTTGCTGAGTCTGCAACTTTCATGCGCGACACGCTGAGTCCGCTACTTCCATCAGTACCCCCAAATACCCACATCTTCTGATTGGCATCCATCACTGCCGAGTGGTCCTCCCGGGCAGAAGGGCTAGAGCCGCTTGTGGACGGAGTTGTCCAAGTTGGTGTAGTTGCCTGCCAACAATTTAAAAATAGATGCGCCGTTTCCGTTTCCGGATTCTGAAGATAAGGGAATCGAGCCACTCTGATGAAGTTCGAAAAGCAAATCAATACAAGAGCGCCCAGTCTGCGCAGCGCGCTGGCGCAAACTGACAGGATTTTGTTGGGCACGCCCCCAAACCCCCCGCAAAGAGTGATGCGCCAAGGCAGGGGGTTTGCAGAAAACACTCCGCGTGGGCCATTCAGAAGATTGGCGGTATGAGCAACGGATATGCAAAAGAGAAAACAACAGAATTTTTGCTCGTTTTCACGCGCACGAACTGCAGGAAAAAGGGTCCCTGCTGGGTTCCCACCTACCCAAATACCAAGAAAATGGTTGCCAAAATTTTCTCGTCGCAGTCAATTCCACTTTCCAAAGGGCACAGGACTCCGGTCTCATATTGCTACATGTAACTGGCCCAGCAACTGATCAGTTGGTGTTTTTCCTTTAAAAACAGCACCTCTCGCAGCCAAACAACACGTCAAGCCCAAAGCCGAAACCACAACGGTTGCCAAACAATGCCCCTGCCTGTGTGTCCAAGTAGTGCACATCACTCAAATAACCTAAACCAAATTGTCGAGCAACGACTGAAATGTCTGACAAATCCCGATCTTGTCTACAGCCCGAAAGCGTCAAACTTAAGTCACCTCCCTATTCCCGCAAGCGAGTTTCATGGGCTGCCAAACTCACGCGCAAACGCTTCGTCTGCGCACTCATGTGGGTGGACGTAGGCGGGATGAAACGGCAACGAGCGTGCTTGATACAGTTCGATTAAAAGGTAAATAAATAAATGTATACCAATAAAACACACACTTATGGATATGCGTACGGAACTGACAGCGGTGCCACACGCCGGCCTAGGGTTCCATTTCCTAAGAGTACCAATAAGAACCATCGGAGGTTGGGGGTCTGTAAGAGGAAGTGAGGCCAAAAGCGCAAGACCGAGAACGAAGCGACGAGATGACGGCGGATCGTGCGTGACTGCAGCAGCTTAGATACCAAGTCTTTGAGGTTCTGGGCTTAGCCTTATGCCATTCGAAAAGAATCGCAGGTACGTCACGGTGATCAGCCGTGATATCCGCATGTACTGTGGCCGCTTCGTTGGACCATCGCGCACAGTACATGGATGGTCCCCCTGCTGAAAAACAAGAAACATACAATCCGACAGGATCCCTGTCACTACAAGGAGCACACACACACGCCTCCCCGAAGGGATGCAAATTTTAAGCGCCGAGCCGGAAGGTTGGGTGAGACTAGTTAAACTGGCGGAGCTCACGGTAGGTCTGAGGCGGGAGGCGACGGTATGTAGAGGTCGGTAGGGAAAAGGAGTAGAGTCTCGTGGGAACTCATTGGCGATACCAAGAGGGCGAATCCTTTGAGAGTTGACATAGTAGAGCACGAGGTCTTCAAGTGTGCAGGTGTGCAGGACTTCCCATACTCCGGTTGAGGGCAAGGCCATCCAAAATGCTGGGCGTTGCTGTCCCAAACAGGAGTAAATCACATCTTTGAGATCATCAACTGTATACTCCTTGGTTTCGAGTTGGTGGGTGTCGAGGGTCACGGTGATGTAGTTGAGGGGTTGGTAAACGAGCAGGCTGATGTCCAATTCGAATCGGATGGTGGAGAGATTGGAAACTTGATCCAGGGATTCAAAAGGTTGACGGACGTCTCTCCACGTAGTGGGTATCAACTGGGTCATTATCTTGGCGACAAAAGGGAATGAAAAAGGACACGGGTGGTGGGAGCCAATGGCTGCGGACAGAGAGAAAAGGATGTGTGTGAAGTGCGACGAATGCAAGACAGTGTGAAAAAGAAAAGAAAAGAAAGAGAAAGAGAGAGAGAAAACAGGAGATAAGAGCTCTAATGTACAAGGGAAGCGCGTACGGCCTCAACCCGAAGAAGGTGGCGGAGCTCGCGTAGTGGTCAATCATGGTCCCAGCCGTAGGTGGGAAGGGAGGAGCCAACGTATTTTGGGATGCTGTAGATGAGGAAGTCAATGACATAGACCCCGAATCCGGAACGGGAACATCTGTACCAGTGGCGGCTGGAGTGATCGGCAATTCCTGGCCGGCGGAGGCGGAAGGAGCAGTGGAGGGAAGGTCAGGATGTTCTTCTCGGTCGAGTGCTTGGTTGAGTTCATCCTGATAGGTGGTAAGGGTGTGTACCATGCGAGGAGCCGAGTGTCGTCGATCGTGAGTCCTGGAGGTGTCATAATCCTCGCGTCCGGATCGGGCTCGCGAGGTGGGGCGATCCGAGTGGTGATGCTGCTCTGGAACCTCGGATGCCGTGAGTGTGATCTGCGATCGCGATCGTGTCGGTTCTCCCTAGGAGGGGAGCGTGTAGATCGGCGATGTTGTGATCTGGCAGAGCGGGAGCGTCGTCGATCATAATGTCTTGCCAAAGGGGAGCGATCAGTGCGAGGGGCTCGGTAGTCCCGGGAGGACTGCTGGTGAGAGTTGGGGTGGGGTTCTGGGACCGTAGGGCCGAGTATAGGGGAACGTGGTGGGCAGGTTGCGCGAGGCTGGGTGGGGCGGGAAAGTGGATTGATGGGTGGAGCTGCTGCCAAACGTGGAGGGGGGAAGTAGGAACTGAAGGTGGGGGGTGGAAATTGATGTGAAGTGGTAGTCCAAGGTCTGAGATGGGAATGGGGCGTGAGACTGAGGGTGGAGGGCGAGTGCTCAGAGGCCGTAGTGGCACTGGTGGTCGGGGAACGGAGATGTTGGTTGTCGTGAGGGTACGGGCTGAAGTGGTGGTGGCGTCGCCGACGGTAGTGGTGAGTTCGGTGGGTGGGGGTTGGGGTGGATCTGGTACTGGAGGGCCGCTGGCAATCTCCGTCTCTGGTGGAGGATTGGTTGAAGGCAATGCGGAGGTGTCTGGTTCATCTCCACTGTAATCAACATCATCGTGCGATCTGGAGGCTGTGCCGAGTTCGCGTCGTGGGTTGGTAGATTCATAGGTGTCGAAGTCGAAGAAGACATGGCGGCGACGGCGAATGGACGGCGAGCGAGGGAGGAGGAAAGCCTAGAGAATAAACCGTGAGGAACGAGCTAGAGCCAAGGGGAGAACAGAATGAGGGTAAGATGAAATACAACGGCGTCAGTAACTTGAATCAATAAAGTGAAAAAAAGGAGGAAATTGGTGCTTTTCTCAAAGGCGGTCCAATCGAAGTAGGGGGTGAAACTAGGTATCCCGCGGGTTCAAGCGAGGACGAGAGCGAGAGCGGGAGCGATTCATAGTGGCTCTGATCTCAGCGTGAGAGAGAGGTCGAGTCGAAGTGGCAACAACGAAACCACGTGAAGGTCGTGTAGTAGAGGGCGTCCTCGTCGTCAATGTGTCACCATCATCCGGGGTGATGGTGGTAGTAGTCGAGCCCTCGCCGAATAAGATCCTGAAGCTGGGGGACGAATTTGAGGACGAGGCGAAGGAAGACGAGGGTCGCGGAAGGTGGTAGTACCACGTAGTTCTGCCGCTTGAGTGTAGTGGAGACCAGTATGTATGGCTTGAGTCGCTTGTCGAATTGCAGAGTCAAGTCCTCGAATTTGTACCTCAAGGTGGGGCGATGTAACACAGGCCAAAAAGGTAGGAGAAAGGATGGCAAGTCGAGTACGAAGAAGGGTAGTAGTGAGGTCCAACAAGGCGTGTACGTGAAGAATCTCACGATGTAGAATGGCCTGAGCCCTCATCGGTATGCCTTCCATTGGGGCAAGTCCGGCAGGAGAAGGGGACATGGCAGGAAGAAAAGCGCTCATCACCTGGAATACTAAGGCTCCAACAGGTTCCAATGAACCTTGAACAAACTTCGGTCGCTGCGACCACGTACGGCATGCCCGAGGGCGGCCACCTCTGACCGCTGCGGTCACGTAAAGGCATGAGCCAACCTGAGACAAACATCTGAGTTCTCTCGGCCTAGGCCACCTTCGCCCGCTGTGGGCACTTACGTTTCCAAAGCAAGGGAAACAACGACAGACACCCGTTCGACGGGTCCACGGGAGGCACTCTACGGGCTCATCCTGGACTCTCACTGAGAGAGACACACTTATGGATATGTGTACGGTTCCTTTTCCTAAGAGTACCAATAAGAACCATCGGAGCCTGGGGGTCTGTAAGAGGAAGTGAGGCCAAAAGCGCAAGACCGAGAACGAAGCGACGAGATGACGGCGGATCGTGCGTGACTGCAGCAGCTTAGATACCAAGTCTTTGAGGTTCTGGGCTTAGCCTCATGCCATTCGAAAAGAATCGCAGGTACGTCACGGTGATCAGCCGTGATATCCGCATGTACTGTGGCCGCTTCGTTGGACCATCGCACACAGTACATGGATGGTCCCCCTGCTGAAAAACAAGAAACATACAATCCGACAGGATCCTGTGACTACAAGGGGCACACACACATATATATATATATTTATATATATATATTGAATTTTTTGTGTGAAACCTTGACCACCTGCAGACCGGTGATTGTGGACAAGACCGGACAGCATTCACTGGTCGCTTTGCACCGCCTCAAGAAAGGCTTAGCGGAGGGCTCAGGTGTGGTGGGTCGAGGCCGATCCTTTGTTGGTCGCGGATGACCGGGAGCGGAGCCCAGGCCGCCGAAGTGGCAGGATGACAGTTGTTGTTGAGCTGCTGCCATGTCAGAAGCCTCTGCTGGAGCTGGGGGCTGCGCCCATACAATCAGGCGGACATGAGGCGCTTGACAGTCGAATCCCTAACCTACAGAGAGGTTGTGGCCAGCCTCAAGTTTCTTCCACGAGGCGCACGCAGGCAAGGCTCAGAACACTTGAGCCAACATGCATGATACCACCGACGAAGAGCCGGCGATGTTGATGATGACACCGCCCTGCCACCGTCTGCCACCGTCAGAGTTCTTCAGGGGCCCGTTGAAGATGGCCAGTTGGAGCAATGGCGAGGATGGCGATCCAGACGCCTCGTACTTGTGCAATTCGAGGAAGGCCTAGTGGATATCAATCTGACCCGGATATGGCCGCGTGCGTGAATGCAAATGCTGAAGCTTGGAAGGGATTGACGGACAAGACCAAAGGCCACGGTGCTTGGAATCCATCTCGAAAAGGATTCGGCAAAGGTTGCAAGAGCAAGGGCTACCGATTTGACTTCCGACCTCGAAAGCCATTAGCCCAAAGAATTCTTGAATCCAATTGCCGCAGGTGCGGGGTGAAGGGGTATTGGAAAGCCGCGTGTCCTTTGCAAAAGCAAAATGGAGCTCCGCGACCAAAGGTACCAACAAAGAGGGCGCCTTCACAGCACTTGCTCTCCAGGAGTCCGGTATCCAGCGCGATGATGACACCCCTGCAGTAATCGATGCGGCCACTCGGGCCAATTGGCAGGTCGCCCCCTCCACACTGTGCCCCACCCACACCTACCTCCGTCATGTTCAAAACAAGCAAAACCAATCAATTATACCAGCGTTGACCCCAAGCAGTTTGTTTGGTCCAGGTCCAAGTCCAGACAATCATGCGGCCACAACACCCACAAAGGACTGGAGACAGTGGGAGACAAGTGGGAAGTGGGAGACAAATGGGAGACATGAGACAAGTGTAAAATC